AATACATAATAAAAAACTTTCTAGGCTTAACAACATTATAAATTGACTAATTTTACATTTAATAATGAACAAATTTACATAGCTTATTAAAATTTATCTAACGGACATCATGTAGGTACAAAACAGTCTTGTAAATTAAACATTTAATGCACTCCAAATTTATGATATGCATTATTTTAAAGCCAAATATATTACTATTATCTAATAAACTAACCGATACTGTACTTTTTACTTTTTTAGTAATGTTTTTAACAGAGAATAAATTTTGTATCAGTAGAGGATTTCAATAAACGTTGGTTTTTCGTTTAAACTTTATAATTAGATAACTGTTCCTTTATGCATTAAATTATAATTAAATTTTATATCATAACTTTTTAATTTTTACTATTTCAAAGATCTTAACACCCTTTTATAGTTTTTCTTTTGTATTTGAACATTATGTTTTGATTTTAAGCAGAAAAAAGATACATTTAATATTTGTTGAGTTGAATTGTCGAAAATTTTAATCTCTACAGACTGATATTTCCCATTAACTTTAACTATATAACTTATGAGGTATTAAAAAAAACGTAAAAAAAATGTTATCACTAATGTGTGCTTCTAGAATAATGGAATCATTTTAACAATATAGTATATTTACCATAAAATAAGTGTAATTTGTTGACTTGTGATCACAGGACTAGTTAGGTGCATAAGGATGTTTGGATAACGAAATGACGCTTTATCACAGTGTTCTGTGATTAGGTTTTCGTGCCAGTTTTCTTGATTTTTCGTTTTTTTATATTTATTAGAAACTTCAGATAACTAAAATAATCTGTTATGCATGTATTCAACGTCACGCGCTTGCAGTACCCCATAGGAAGTGGTTTTATTGGTAAATTGGATAGCTCTGTTTAGTCTTAGATATATTAGGTAATAGATTAGTGACGGTATTATACAAGTAATGTGTAGCATAATCATTATCAAAAAATATTGAAGTTAACGTTATTCTGGCATGGAAGTGAGTTGCTTGAGTCTAAATAGAAAATATTCTAGTTTTATATTACATTAACATTAAGTTTGACCACGTCAAAGGAATCGTATTAGCATTGGTGCGTTATTCTTTCTAACATTTTTTAAGAATTGTTTTATATACTGCTGGACTTAGATTGTTGCATACTCAATAACAATCGTTAGCTAGCACTTTTTTTTTTTTTTTTTTTACGCCACAGAACAGACTTGAGTACCCGGGGTGTTCTATTATTTTCTCCTATACCCAGTTTTCATAACACCATTAATAATAGATTTTTTCGATTCTTGTATTGGAAATTTTTATACAAAAGAAAAAACCTTAACAAAGCAAACCGACAGCAACCCTCATTTTTTATATTTTATTGTACTGTTTGAGCAATAGTCTTATACCGTCATTAGAAGAACTGAAATACACAGCTAACTTGACTGTAATAATTGGTCGAATAATGTAAAAAATTCAATTTTCTTCTTTATTTTGAAACAGTGCAAATTGATTTTAATATAGCAAAAATCAATCCTACCACTTTTATACCCTAATTCTGATTACGTGACAAAATAATTTTATTAGATCATTGTATAGTTTATCAACATGTCACATGGTACCAATTGTTAATTTGTTGTACTAGTGTTCATTGGCAGTCGATCGTTCGTTATTAGAGTTTAATTTTTGTATAATTAACTAATTATTTTACACACTTGTTCTTTTACTAATGAAATACCTTTAATTCTATCTTGTATATTATCGAATGTGATTCAATGTCACTACTAATGTTGGATTACCGTTTTCCTTATTTCATTACTAGTTAATTTTTTACAATTCGCAGCAACGAACGATTGTTGTTCAATCATTATTAAAAGCAGCAGTAGCGCAATAATAATTATTGTTTAACTTAGTATATACAAAAGGAAATCGTAGATTGCAGTAAGATGATGGAAATCATAGTTGTCCGACCACGCCGTGTTCTTCTACCATTTCGATACGGTCTGTAAAGAAGTAAAATCAACGCATAAAACACGCTGATATAGCTCTTGTATGAAGAGGAAAGTAAAAAAAATTACACTTTAAGCTTGTTAAAATTATAAATATAAGATGCGGTTAAGATCTATAGTCAGTTCAACTGTTAATTTTTGTATTTATGACTTAGCAATCAGAAAATACTATAGATATTTGTAATCTCTTATTTTATTGCCGCACAGTATAATATTGTTGATTATCTTATTGATTTAATAAGACAGCTAAAAATACAGAAAATGGAAAAGAAATATTGAATTTTCTTCCCTCTAAAAAATGAGAATAATTCATCAATAGTAGTAAGTCATAGATAAAATCTTGAAATATTTTATAAGTTTTATGCATGTTTTATTAGTAAACTGTTTAAAAATCTTAACAATTTTATTAAAGGACAGTGTACAAACACTAAAAACTGTAAGAACGGAAGGTGTATGTGTTGAAGACATGTTGGTAATATTTATTTTAATAAATTATAACTGAATAAAATTTTATCTTCTTATTCGCACCCAAATTTCAAAAATAATTATTTAATATCCATAATTTTTAGCTTCATAATATTTATCTATAATGTGTTCATAATATTTAAAATCTATTTATATTATTTAAAAGAAAAAAAATGATATATGATTAATTAGTTTTATCAGAGATGTAAACATTTCAACTTGTCCCTACAATTATTCGTTTAATAAGAATTTATGCCGCAAATAAAATCAATAATAAACCCAAATGCGTATTTACTTTTTAATGCTTCAACTAAAGATTATCACAAATTTGTAGTCTATTAATGTAATTTATGTCAACGGACTCATACGTAAATGTCCAATGAACGTTTGAATATTGTGCCCGGCATTGTTCTTCATAGCATTTTATTCGGAAATATATTTCTTGGTAAACTAAGCATTGTAATTATATTACAATATTGTATATTGTAATTGTATTTTACTCGTACAGAAACAACTTTCAATTTTCAGAAATATTTAAGTAAAATTATAATCTGTATGCAGTCGTACCGTATAGTTAAATTCGCATGCAAGACCTCGCAAAGTTGTGGTCTTATATGGTTAAAACCGGTAATATTTGCATTATTACATTTATAGCAATTTTACTTGTTATGCGCTCGGTGCACAATCGAAAATTTTATTAACATCAAGACTCTGTCTGGTGTATTTAAGTGTAAAGTTGAAATTATCTATTACAATGTTTTTTTTCTTTTAATTTCCAGGATGTATTTGATTCAGCCGAATAAATACAACATTCTTACAATTTCATATGGAAATTAAAAATAATTATCGTCATAATTGATAACATTAATAGTATCGGAATATATATTGATAATCTCAAAGAAGTAAGGTTAATTAACATGAGAATTTTCCTCATAAAAAAATATTAGTTAATTCAACAAAAAAGTTATCAATTACCACTTAACTAGAATGAGTTGAATGAAAAATTTGTAATTTAAATGAAAAATTATTAGAAAAATAGTGAAATTATTAAAGTAATGTTTTAAAGAATTTTTAATGTTTTTATGTGTGTAATGTATAACACTTAGTGGAAATTTTAAATAGCGCATTGCAGAAAAAATAATCATCTTAAAACACCCGAAAACATGGGTTTTTTGTAATACATTTTGCTTAAATAATTCAAATTTATTCATTCATTATTTACTCTCTTTGGTTGAGTATTTTTAATGTAGATGATGTTCTTTCATATTATGTAAGATCTTCGTTTAGGATTTCATACATTGCAATATATAAAAAAAAATTAAAACTAATTGTCAATGGAAATAATTTATCTTGGAACATCTAATGAATAATTGAATAAGTTAATAAGTTAATTGGTTTCGTTTGATGAAAAATAAAATTATGATAATAGGAATACTATTACACATTGTGACACAATATGTCGTTTATTTAACTTGTGTTCTCCTTATTCTCTTTAGAAATAAAGGAAACGAAATTCTTGAAAATTATTTTTTACCTTTTCCTTAAAGTTAATTTGCATTTGAATGTTAACATTCGTTTTATAAAGTTATTTTACTTTTGTATAACTAATTATTATTAAATTGTTTTTTAATCAGTTTATTTAATTAATGGGACGTTTTTTATTTCAACTGCGATTAGTAACAAGTAGTGTAATATACACTACGGTATTGTTTTAGTTAATGACTGTTAATGACACTTAATGACACATGATGAATAAAATTTGTATCAAAATATAATTGTGTAATAAGTCGTTTAAAAAATTAAATAGGCTGGTAGTGTAGTTTATATTTTATAAATAAATCACAATATGACTATAAAGAATGATATATACTACTGTTTAATGTTAAAGTTGAAGATCAAAGTGTATCAAACAAAAACATTATAATACTTATTTATATTAATTTGTAAATTTATATAGTTTTTTATTATTTAAAACGAGTGTAAAAATTTTAAATTGGTATTTAATTTATTTTTATTTACAAAATTTACCGATAAAATAACGACTGCTAATATCTAAATAATATTGGTCGAAAAAGCAAAAGTTCCTTTTGATTGACTTTTAGCTGGAAAATTAGAATTATTTTTATCGATCACACTCGTCTGTCTAAATGACTTATTATCATTGAGCACATCGATAACAAATCTTTGTTTGTAGTAGGCACCCAATTTTCCATTAGAACGCGTTCAAAGTAATAAGGAGAGTTATATTAAAAATAAAAACCCCAAATAAAGTATTGATTACGATGATATGTTTGTTGACAATCATCTGAATTCAGATTAAACTTAAGTCTATTCCAGTCTGTTCGACAGCCGTTGATAGAACGTTACGCTTCTCATGAGTTTGTATTATTAAAGACCGTCACAAACTTATCGTCGTTATGCAAATTATTAAAGTTCTTCCCTCGTCGATATCTAAAAGTTTTGAATCATCCTCAACCAGTTATTTTTTACCTACCATAGAATCAAATTCTGAACATTCCTCTACTGGGTTACAGAAACTTAATGGAAGACTGTTGTTTGCTATTATTGCATCGGCGTTTGGAGCTGCTTTCCAACATGGATACAATACCGGAGTAGTTAACGCACCTCAAACTGTAAGTACCGTGAATTTGTTTATATATTTTTATTTTTTGACCGTTTAGTTTTACCATAGTCTATTTATTTATCTATTAATGCTTACGGTACATTATACTTTAATAGATTAACAATTAAAGATGGGAGTTTAAAATAAAATAAATAGTACCTATACATTGTACTTATTGTGTAGTATAAAATTAATTTCACTAAAGAGTTATGAGGAAATATAATAATACATAGACTAAATATATTATTGCTGTTAAAATAAATTTAATTTAAATTGTTTAATTAAAAAACCGGCTGATCTGGTGAATGAAATAACTTGTGTAATGATATGGGGATAGGTTGAATTGAAAAAATTTAAACAATTATATAAGGAAAAATGGAAGAAGACTAATAATCTGGCCATGCTTAAATTATAGTCTGATAAATAATTATCAGAAGAGGTTTGTAAGTTGGAGAACGGTTCATGAAATTTGTAGTTTTGGCTAAGCCTCCTCATTGCCAAAAATACCAACGTGACTAGGTCGCTTTAAACGTTTATATCGGCTAAAAATGATTATGAATTAATGTCTTTAGTTGAGTAAAGATCTACACTTTTAAAAGAGATTGAATAAAAGCTGATAATGAGTCAAAAACTATTAAAACATCTAAAAGATTGAAGGACTGAATAAAATCGAGGCCGAGGAGGTACAATAAAATTCAGTAGTGAATGAAGTTTATTGTAGAGGGAGAATATTTGAGAAGTAAATATTAAGACTAAGAATGAAAAAAGAGAATTAATTACAACAAACTTAACAATCAATAAATATAAGTTAATAATTAATAAACCTAGGGGATATAAGTTAATAAAAGAGACAAATAAGAAATATTAGTAGGGAAAGATTTTAACTGTGACTTTGAATAAAAAAGAAAGTGGTGAGTGAAATGAATAGGTGGACAATAAATTAGTGCTTAGAATAAATTATCAATAAGAGGCAAGCGAGTATAAAGTTATGGTACGGAGTCAAAGTAATATATATTAACATTTTTAATAACATATATTTATTTAAATTTGATATTATTAGTTGTTTTTAGTAATTAATAGCTAAAAATTGGCCCTTAATCACCGTTTAACTTATTTTTAATAAATATTACTTAAATTAGGAAATAAATTTAATAAAATAATTTTTATTTAATTTAAAGGTAAGAATTTAAACATCCTTAAATAATTCAAAAATACTTTTCATATAAACAGAAGATATCTGAGAAAAAATATCTTATATCTGAATTCATAATTCAATCGTCAATTAAAAATTCTTTAAATTAAAATTTATAGTTAGTATTTTTTTATTTTTAATATTACGTTGTCTAATTATTTTTATTATATTTTAGTTAATCGAAGAATGGATAAAAGGGTTGCTGTCGTCCAGGTCCAATGGGGCACCTGTAGAACAGTCTCAAGTTACGATTATATGGTCTATCGCAGTGTCAATTTATTGTTTTGGTGGAATGATCGGTGGCTTATCAACCGGCGCAGTTTCAGAAAGATTCGGTCGCAAAGGTGGTTTATTAGTATCTAACGTTTTGGTTATCATTGCAGCAATTCTACAAGGTGAGGAAGTTACTGTGATTATTATTTTTATTATTGAAAAAGTAATTTTTTTACAATTGAAACTATAAGTAAAAATAAGTAGGGCTTTGATCATTGTGACTTTCAAATTTTTACCTTTAAACTTGAGAAACCTCAAGTTAGAGGCTAAAATTAGCCTTAAACGAGTTTGTTTTTTAGACACCTCGAGTATATTAAAATTTTATTGTAAAAAATGTGCGTTTATTAATGGAGGATGATATTTGAACTAGCGTTCAAAATGTCATCCTTACGCAAACAAATAAATTTATGAGCGTTTAATGATCGTATTTTAATTATGACTGAAAGTAAACAAAAAACATTTAAAAGGTCTAAGCGATTGCGTGTGGTGTATTGTCGCATTTGATGAGTACGGTTTTAATAAATTTATTATTCAAAATCAGATGTATTGAACATTCTCTTATTAAGTGACGTTTAACGTTTTACATGTTGGCAGACGTAATGTATCTATCGGTATAGACGTTGACATAGACCGTATTTTATAAATTACACGGTTGCCTTCAATTGATTTAAATTGAGTTCAATGTTATTTTGTTGTTATTTTATTTGTCACAAAACGCCGTTAATATTTTAAATGATAAAAAATAATAATACAATTTATTATTGGCTGTTTACTTGTCATCAACTATCGTTTGCCTGTAAATTACTAGGCACATGCGGTTGTTATTTGAATTTAGACGCGCATACGCCCAATGTAGATAACTTTGAAATAATTCAAACGTGGTTACATCTTATGTTCGATTAAGCATTTATGCATTTTTTTATCGTTCAACATTGTTATGATGTCCCGTTTTCGTGACACAAATGCCCTTCGTCTGAATAGAATTTCGATTTTAAAACTGCATTTACTTGAATAATAAATGATTGTAAAAGGATAAAAAACATTGAAATGTAATACTGTATAATAAACTATTCAGTATACAGACGGATGTCCTGTAAACATTAACACGTGTTTTATCGAGGTGAAATAAAAACAGTAAATGCTTTAGTATGACGTGGTGTTCATTGAAAAAATAAATGTGGTTATGTACTTCATAATGTTCACGTCTGTTTTATTTACATTAATATGTTTAAGAATAATGCGTTCGAAACGTTCCCATTTTTAAAAGATTTCTAAGTGACATCACATTACTAATAGCTGATAACTGTTACTCATGACCTTACTCAATATTATATATATTTCTTGTTATCCTATACTTGGTTTTATTTCTAATTTTTACTACTACAAATATGTTTGTGTAAATCTTATTTTAATAAATAAATGTATACATTTAATTATACTTAACTGTGAGATTTAAAAATGTTTAAGTTAACATGATAATTATGCAGAAATAGTTTCAACAGACTAGATCTGATGGACGTGTTGCGAAGTTTAATAATATTCATTTAACAGAATAAATTATTCTATAAAGGTAATATTGCAATTTTATGTATGCGTTTCTTTTTGCATACAGCTACGTACTTTCACCTCGTTTGACCAAATTAAGAGTAAGAGATAATTTAAATAAATTCAATGCAGATACATTCAACTAATATTCGTAACTCTAATTTATTGCCCTTTTATTTTAATCAATTAAGGACAATACATGACAATCATCGCTTGACAAACAATACTTAAATAGGTTATAGTGTGTGTAATTTTTTAATACAGGTTACATTATATGTTTCGCATTATTTTACAGGCGTTTCTAAAACATATGCTTCTTACGAGCTAATCGTAGTTGGTCGTTTTCTACTTGGTATCAATTCCGGTCTTAATGCTGGTCTTGCACCTATGTATCTCGCAGAAATTTCACCAATGAACCTTCGGGGATCTGTAAGTTCTCAATAAAAATTAATTATTATCAACGCTGTGCCTATTAAATAAAAGTAAATATAGAAAACTTGTTTTGTTTTTAGGTTGGAACAGTGTATCAATTGGTTGTTACTATTTCCATCTTGATATCTCAAATATTAGGTCTTGAATACTTATTGGGAACTGCGGATAAATGGCCATGGTTACTTTCCGTGTGCTTCATACCAGCTGTATTTATGTTCGTTACACTTCCTTTCTGTCCAGAATCACCGAAATACACACTGATAAATAAGAAACAAGACTTGGAAGCTCAACGAGGTACGCCCTGGTTTCTATTTTAAAGTTTGGCGTACTTGGTTTTTTGAAATTAGATTCTTAACTGGCATGTTTGTAATAGGCTTACAATGGTTCAGAGCAACCACTGATGTGCACGTAGAAATGCAAGAAATGCGAGCCGAATGTGAAGCATTAAAAATTATTCCTCGTGTTACCCTTAAAGAAATGGTAATGAACCCTATGTTGAAGATCCCATTAGGAATTGCTGTTATGGTCATGTTGAGTCAACAGTTGTCCGGTATCAATGCCGTGAGTTCCTACTTATATTTTATAATTTTAAATTTATTTCAAATTTCTGATTGGATTTTTTTAGGTCATGTTCTTCTCTACTAAAATTTTTGAAATGGCTGGTATGTCAGTAGACGGGGCAAAATACGCTACCTTAGGAATGGGCGCACTTAATGTCATCATGACTTTGATTTCATTGGTCTTGGTCGATATGTCTGGCCGGAAAACTTTATTGTTACTTGGTTTCTCCTTCATGTTTATCGACACCGTTCTGCTAACTATATCTTTGATGTTCGTGGTAAGTGATTTTAAACTTAAGATTAAATCGAATTTAAAAGTATTTAATGCACCTCGTCAAGTAATTAAATATTTTGTCTAAATGTATTTCTAATTAATAACTATAGAAATCGTTTATTTGGGTATCTTACTTGGCTTGTCTATTTGTTATGATATACGTCGTTGCTTTTGCTATTGGACCCGGATCTATTCCATGGTTTTTGGTATCTGAATTGTTCAACTCATCAGCTCGTCCATTAGCCACCAGTATAGCAGTCGGAGTCAACTGGACTGCTAACTTTGTTGTTGGATTGAGTTTCCTACCTCTACAAGTAATTACATTTTTATAGCTATGAAGCAATTTATTCTTTATGATTATTTTTTAAAACTTTGATATATTATCTTTCTGGGTCGTACAACATAGACAGACGTCTGTACCATAATTCTTATATTTGACAAACTCATTTTTACGTTTTAATTAATACAACAATTTTCTCTTTAAATATAATGATTTTAATATTACAAAAGTCATTACTATTCATATATTTTAATCGATCGTTCCTCTTCAGTGATTTGACTGTCAACCTATTCAGTCCGGAAATATCACATATAATGAATCCATTATTTCATATCATACCTATCTTAAAATTGAATTTCAATTTTCAAGTTTATTAAAAACATTTTCAAGTCCATTGTACATATAACAAATAACATGTATCATAAATCTATGATATTTGATTATAGACTTAAATGATATGTTGAAGAAACAAAAATTAATTTTTTAGGGACTTTTATCTGAGCTTTAGAGTTAATTTTTATTTAAAAAAGATTTAGTGTACATTGTGTGTTATATTTATACCTGAATATACTAATTTTATATTTTTCCTTCTTAGCAACTTTTGGATTCCAATGTGTTCTTTATATTTGTTGTTTTGCTCGGACTCTTCGTCATGTACGTATACAAGAAAGTGCCAGAAACTAAAAACAAAACACTAGAAGAAATTCAAATGTTGTTCAGACAAGAGTCATACAAATAAAGTATTATAAAAGTAATTCAAAATGGTCTTATGCGCACGCCGTTAACATTTTAAAAGTGCAACACTTTTAAAAAATCCCATTGGTTTATAACAACACCATAACATTTGAGTACCTTTTAAATAATGTAACCATAGATATTTTAATTAAAAAGAACAACCTTGTATTAATTAATAAATTATATTAGTAGATATTAGGATACCCACTGTATTTTGATAGTGGTCGACTGTGGTGTTATATAGAAAAATATTGTAAAAAAATAATTATTAAATTATTATTATGTATATTATGTGTTAAAATACATTGTAGTAAATCATGAAACGTGTTAACTGAATAAAACCGAAATCTTCCATCAAAGTTTTAATTTAGTACTATGAGTTTTATTCATGTAGATATTTGTTGACCTTTCATACTGTAAGATTTACATATTTTGTTATTGATTTTTATAAATTAATAAAATATATGTTTTATTACTAGTTTTACGTTATGTCACTTTAACGGTTATTTATTTTATTTTATTTTGTGTATTTTTTATTTAATAAAACTGTAATTATTAATTTTATTTGCATTTGAATATTTCATTTATTTAGTTTCTAACCTACCAAAATCAGTGTCCATTCGAAGTTATATAATTATTTAATAAGCTACTTAAATACAAAAATTAATAATCACAATATATCAGTAATTATTTTTAGTAATTTTATATTACAACTATTTACTCATTATACATTTAATATCTAATATTTACTATGATATATTCTTGGTTAATATATTAATATATCAACAAATTATTGTTGAATAATGAATACAAAAATGTTTGTACTGATTACTCAATATTTTTTTATATATGTTTTATTAATAGAATGATGGAACAATATAACGCAAAGAATGTTATACATTTTAATGATTTCTTAATTATTTTAGTTCAAAATTATTAATGATAGCAATGTATGACAAAATATCACTTCTGTTATAATATTACATGTTCAAATAAACAAAACATTAATACATTTTACCATTTAACATTAGGCTCTAACAAAGATTTAAACTTTAAGTTTTATAAAAGTTTTTATTTGAATTAATTCAAGTATGTAAAACATATAATAAGTATTCACAACGGAAATCTATGGTGTATTTTTTAAAACTTAAATGATAATTGCTTCATTAATTTAGACTGATTTGAAACTTCAGAATATTTTTATTGTTTTATGCAAAATTATGAATAAAAAATTACATAAAACTAAACTCAACGAATGCTAATTAACTTACTGTATTATTTCTTTAGCTACCATAGAAAAAATTAAATGATTGTAATGCAATTATACATATGAAATAGTAAATGTAATTCTAATTTATTTTTTTGAAAAATTACCAAGCATAAATGGGTATATATTTTCATATAAATAATACTATAATTTTTATATAACACAAAAATGATTAAAAAGTTGGTAATTTGTTCTAAAATATAATATCTGTATTATTTTGTAGTTAATCTAAAATTCAATATTGTAAAATATTCATAAAAATTTGAGTATTGAAATAAAACTAGAAGTATATTAATATAAACAACAAAGTTCACAGTTAGTTTAATTGTCCTTTGTGAATTATATATATAGTTCATTCGGGCTTAACAGCCCTTGTTGTGGCTACAATAGCCATTTTTCTATTTCATTTAATCAACGTATTTTATTATCTGATTTTATAGTTTTGAATAAAGTACTAATGTGAAAATGAGTTGTGATGTTATTTATTAACTGATTATTAATATAAAATACATTGTAATGAAATGTTAAAGACAATAAATTAATTATTAACTTACCAATTGTGTATTTAGTCTATTTGATGTTTTATGAAAATGCGGCGTTCTATGTATGCAATTTTATAACATTGTTGTCCATATGTTTGCTATACATTTTTTACAATAACAATAATTGAAAAACTATTTTGAGAGTTACGATATCGTGTTAATTGGGATATATATTCTTAAATTGTCTTAGTTACTGTATATAAAAACTTATTTCTTCATACACCATTATTAATTATCTTAAACTTCAAAAATTAGTTCATAAACACAATTTTTTAAATATTTTAATGCATTCGATGAAATGAACTCGTATTACTGACACAATAATTTTTTTTATTAATTAATAATTATTATTTTTTAGTTAAGACTGAAACATGGAAAGTTCGGACAATAATTCTTCTTAAAAAAACCAAACTGGTAAGATTATGTTATAATATTATTTAATTAAATGACAATAATACATATTTATATCATTTTTTCTTGTTAATATAGGTTAAATTAAAATAAAATAATAATATAATTATGGTATTTTATTTTATTAAGTTAATTGTTTTCAACGATTTATTTTCAAATAATAATTTATTGATACTATTTTGACAATACCTATTGTTCTTATAAAATGAACCACATATTTAAGAAGTAACGTAAGTCACAAAAATTTAAAAATTTCAAAGAATTCAAGACATTTTTTAAATATTCAATAAGTTTGAAAGTTATAAAAAATATTCGTATTCAAAATACATAAAAAAAACTTGTACCTAGAGTCTGATGGAGAATCCAAGCATGAACTTACTATAGTAATTTAGTATATATCGTAGGAAATAACGTACTGTGGAAATGACGGAAGTCTAAAGCTTTCAAACACACCCCCTCAGTTTAAAATAAGGTCTTTTTTATTTTTATGTATTAATTCGGCATATCTTATAGAATAATTTTCTTTTAGCCATTTTAGTTCCAATGAAACACACCAATGGTAGCTTAAAAATAGTTTTGACTGTTTTCTACTAGTTTCATATTTTGGATTTACGTCGTTTCTCAATTAAGTAGTCAAATGGGTTAAACGTAAATAGAAAAGACTCGGGTTACGTAACTTTTTTAATTTTTTGTTCTTATATAAATAATATTTCAGATAGTTATTTATTTATTTCTGTTAAGTATTTTTAAAATATATTTTGTTAACTATAGATCATAAAATATTCTTTCAATTTAAATGTTTCTATATTAATTTAAAACATATACACATTATAAAATACTATTCAAAAACTATCTGGTTTTTAATATATTTTCAGCAAATTTATCCTGATTATTTGACGTTCTTTAGATTTTATACCGAGAATATATATAAAATATTTTTTATTTAGACTCTTGATGAACTTAAATAAGGTAACTTGAGAAGTATGTCCCCGATCAAGGAGAGCATAAAGATAAACTTTGTCTTATGCAAAAAACTAGTTAAACAAGTTTCTAGTTAATTGATCCATTAAATATAATATATTTATGATGGTTCAAATGTAATTTGTATGAATAATAATTGAATAATTCCAAAATTTTAATAGTTTAATTAATATATAAATAAAATTTGTATACATCGACCTTGTAATTAAAAAGGACATGATTTTTTTTTTATTTGAGCTGTAAAAATATAAATCATATTATCAATGGAATATACAATCAATTAATCAAATTTTCGAAAAAAGGAATTTTTTAATTTATGAAGAAAAAATTGATAACTGTATTTCAATAATATTTGTAGCAGGTTTACCAATATATCATGAAAATTATAGTAGGCAGTTTAAATAACAGGATTAAGAAAAGGATTGTTTTAGTATACATTTTAATTTACTAAAATAAAAATAGTTCTTCAAAATATATTAAGAGACACTTCCTCCTGATTAATTTTACTTATTTACTTAATATTACTTATTAGTTGTACTTTATATTATTATACATTTAATTTAAAGTTAATGTCTAGTTTTATAAATTGTTTAGTATAATTAATGTAGTTGTAGCAAAAAAATGTAGTGTGAATTTTTTAATAATTAATAGTAGTACAAATTAACATAAGAAGGGAATATTTATATAAAAAGGCTCCTTAGTCCTTCAATTTGATTTAACGACTGTAAAATCATGTTTTATTAATTTTATAAATATTTCGTAATTATTAATTTGTTTATTAAATAATTTTTTGTCAATTCTATTTATAAATCAATCGTTCAATTATATTGGATGTTATCAGCCAATAAATGATAGACCAATGAGAAATAAACACGCCTTATATTATATTTATATGATGATGGCCAAAGTAATAGGGTTATTATTTATTCTTTGGATTTCGACAAGAACATATTGTTTAGATTTTTATTGTTCTCAACATTATAAATATATAATTTTATTTTTTATGGATATCATAAGCAGCTATTTAATAAATAAAATTTTTGATAAAAATTAAAAATTAATTTTTGATTTCGGTGCTATTGTCATTTCTGGGAGTTCAGATTCTCTGTGGACATTGGAGGACAATATTTTAAATTAGAAAAATTTCTTTCACTTATTTTTAATTAATTAAAGATTGATTATTAATCAATATGATTATATTTATTCATTAAAAAAATCGTGATTTTTTTTGTGTAGATGAAATACCAAAATATACTTTGGAAGTGATAAATTTAATTTTTCCTTTCTACATTTTTTTATATTTTACATAACACATGAGTTATTTGGTTGGAGATTATTTATTTTTAAGAGATAAAGTTTTCTCCTACAATATCCATTAATATCTTTCAATATGCCTTGGTCTATAATAATAATATAGTATGAATATAACATTAAAACACAAAAAATTAAATATAATTTAAATATTTTGTTAAATTAATAGTTGACTATACTTCAATTTACCTTCTATTTGAGGATTTTAAGATCATAACTTTTATAAATGTAATATAATTTAGATAGTAACAACTATTTGATACATTCATTTAATATTCATAATAAAAACACTTCTGGGAACAAACAATTGTGCACACATGTGTCATATCTAATTATTTTTTTCATAGTAATTCAAGTTGATAGACTTTCACCTCTATTGTTTTAACTTGGGACGGTAATGACTAGGAGTTGTTGGATTATTGAATATTATTAACAAACAATATTTGCAATATTATACTATTTAATAGTATTTTCATAGGCGCAACAATGTAGGAGGTTTATTAATTTCACAAAAAAAACCAAAAGAATATTGGAAATATTTTTACTGGACTCATTTGAAAGATTAGCACCTGAAATCAGTATTTTATTTGATTTATGGACACTTCTACGGCCTATTGCAAGGCTTTGCTCTCAAAGTTTCTTAACCTTTTTATAATTATATAATTAATTGGTTGAAATATAATTCTATCAACAGTTTATGACTTATATTTTTTTTTTATTGCTTTGTTAACAAATCATTTCAAAATTATGGAGTTCTTTAGATTAGCTGTGATATAATTTGTAAAACTTATCTATTCTGAAAAGGAAAAAAAAAGTTTTATGGCTTACTACTCTTAAGGAAATTTGTATGATAAAACTATGTGGCTAGAAATATCTTTAATTAACTGGGAAATAAAATTAATTAATGATTAAAAAAAAAAAAAAACTCAATAACAATACCAACTTGATAAAGAAACTGTTTAGTAAATAAAGAAACAGGTCAATTGTTACAAACAATAAGAACAGTAAATATTCGTTTCTTTAATTTCTTATCATCCTAATTATACGAAATT